GCATAATGGCTTAGCCAATAAAAAGTCTTGAATTGCATTATCCAAAGATCCAGTTATTAATAATCCCCTTTACATTATGATGTGGGGGGAGGGGGGAAGCTTACCTTTTACACAGCTACGCGCATAACCCTATTCAAATTTTCCAAAACGCCCTTTACGTTGTTTGTTGGCACAAAAAAACCTCTTTGCAATCTTTACAGTTTCGAGTGTGTCCGTGATCGATTTGTGATCCACTTCCAATTTTTTTCTTTTACCTTAGCATTCGACTGGGTTCCCACAGACGACGGCGTCTAATTTCCCGAAGAAACGCTCTCTAGTTTAATGGCGAACTGCTACAGTTGATGAGCTTCTCGCACATAGGCTGGTGTTGTTCAGAAAAAGTTTTACAACATATTACTTCGCCAAGCGCGACGCTGATCAAAGGTTTTGTGAAAAGATTTCGGGATTTCATATCTCGCCAATTTTTTATTTGCGCTAACGACAATTTTCGGCACCAAAACCTAGGGAGGGCTGTGCCTCTGAATTTTTTTTCAGGCTAGCTACGCTTGCCGTTTCCCTCCCCCCCCCCCCTGCTCATGCTATGAAAACATTCATTAGCGAGCTAACAAGCTTTATTCCAACAGCAGCGGCTTACTCGTACAATTCACTGAACTGGCGCAATATATCTGTGAATTACATACAACAAATCCGAACACTAAAATTATCATGAAGTTACATATATAGTTCGTAACGAAACTAGTTTTCGGGATAATTCGATCTATCAACGGACTGCATTTTGCTGCTTTGAAAATCACTCTAAAGAAGCTACTACTCGGGCGAAAAGATGAATTAGAACGTTAATTCTAAGGTGAAGTAGTCGCCGAGTTTAGCGACAAAAGCAGAATTGGAGTACCTCAATAAGCACATTAAAATCAGGATCTCCGCACAGATACTGGTCTAAGTAGTTCCAGTTATAATTTTCCATTTCCTCATGCCGGAATTCCCCATCATTTGGCTCAAACAACTTTGTTTGTGGAATCCAAAGGCGATACCTATAAACAAGCAATAATCAAAAATGAGTTCCATAGAAAAAACAAATAAATTAAGAAGAAAGCAATTAAAAAACCAAACAGAGAAGTTTGTTAATCTTTCAACGCTCAATTGCTCCCGGCCCAACAGTGATCTTCTTTGTGGGCGGTAATCAGTAAACATCTACTTATATCAACGCTTAATACCGCCTAAAATCGCTCGAAATTTGTGGAAATTCAAGACAAAAGGACTGCTTCGCCGGTTTGGAAATTTATTCAACTTGTTGGCCTTAAAATAACGGAAAACACTGCCCTTGTGGCTGACCTGGTCTGCAGCACTTTGTCTTCCACTCCCCCTATCCCAAATCATTCCGTCGAGCCATCAACATCAGGGACTTATCATGGTTTCCATAGCATGAAGCGACTATGAGTAAAACTACTCCCCCGTGGATGGGATGTCTGTACATCATCAGGTTACCCCCTCGCATTTCTTCACTTCCCTGACAATTGGCCGGTACCCATTTATACTCCTGTGTGGAGAGAGGCACTGGGGGAGAGTAAAGTGTTTCATCCAAGAGCACAACACTTTGACCTAGCCAGATTTCAAGTTTCCAACCCTCCAACCCAGACCTCTTGCACCCGTGCCCAGCGCTCTAACTCTTGTGTCCCACAGGGAGCCCATGACAAATCAGACGATCCGAGGAGCGAGAATACGCTGATGAACAAAATCACGATTGCTTTTTTTTTTAGATCTAAAGGGCTGAGAAGGAGGCAGAAACTTTATTTAAGCAATGATACAGTTGGAACGAAGCTCAAACACAACAATACTAGATGGCCTCAATGACACCATAAGAAAAACATTTCTCTCGGAATCTTACCTGTAAAACATAGGTTGGGAACCAATTTGATGGCGTGGTCTATACCTGGTTACTGTTACTCCATGTGAAGTCAAGCTTAACTTGTGCGAGTTCCGTCCAATGCTAAGAAAGAATTCCTGATGATCTGACTTGGCCGGTGTGCCTGCGATGGACTGGGGCTTAATAGGAGGGGCTGGTTTACCCTTCAGTGGGGTCAACTGAAATCCCTATCAATATGGGAAAGAAGAAAAAGAAATTTATCTTGAAGAAGGTGCAAAATTGACAATGTATGCGGAACAGAATTAACGGAACGAAACAGAATAAAATAGAAGGTGGAGTTCAATTTAAACCAGTTGCGTCTAGAAGTGACTGATGTGCACCTTCTCCTTATAACATCCATACTTAGTATATACTAAAACAGTGGATAGCGTTGAAGGCGCGCTCTGATTGGTTAGTCAAACTCCGAATATCCTTTGCTATTTACCTCCGAGCAACTCGGGAAAAAATGGCGTCCCGGTTTGCATCCGTGACAAGCGAAGAAATCTCTCAAATCAATTTTTGCTGGTGCATATTATCTCGCTGTTTGAGTATATACTAAAACAACTATTCACCTCAGTGTCGGTGGTTAGTGGTGGATATTTACCACGCCGCTTCGCGGCTCGGTAAATATCCACCACTAACCACCTCCACTTCGGTGAATAGTTGTTAAATATCCAGTAAACAGGTAATCGGAGAATGAGAACACCAAATTCTCGTCACTAATTCACAAAAAAAGTGTAGCAGCTAGAGAGGAGAATTAACAACTTGATAAGATCTTGGGAGTTAAAGCGCTCCGGCCTTGTGTTTCACAACAGCTAGTTCTAAACTAAAGAAGCCCTTGATTGATAAAAAAATTCTCCTGGTCAGCACCTTAGGAAATCATGTATGCAGAACAGTATGGAGAATACACATAGTGATACTGATGTCAGGGTGTGAGGTGTTGATACCTTGCGAATTCGTTGAGAGACAAGTTCCATGAATAACATCTCCGCGCTTAAATCTCGACGAGCTCCATGTGAATCTTCCTCCGGCAGACTGGAAAGGTATTATTTCATAAAAAGAAAAATAAACTTATTAAGTTATTTTAACGCGCTAAATACTAACTGAAACCGATCAGACCGAATAGTCAATTAAAGAGAAGACTCAGAATTTAATTGGAGGTTTACGTAAACTTTTATAAAAGTTTCATGACAAAAGTGGAAGGAATGTCTTCTAAACAAGCGTAATTCGATTTCAAAATTGTGGTCAAACCAAAACCACGGTTGGAGCGCTTTTCGATTGAAACGACAACGGCCTGGAATCAGAGGAAAGGAAAATATCTGTGAAAGCCAATGGGAACTCAAAGTAAGACCGACCACCCTGCATAAAGCGCGGGAAAACGCGGGTCGACCAAGTTGTGATTGGTTTTGGTTTTGCATCTGATTGGTTGAGAGAGTGGCGCAAATTTCCTGTACCAATCACCGCAAAAAAAAAAACAACAACAACAACAAACAAAACAAAACAAACAATCCCAGATTTCTTTTGACACTCGATTGAAAATTGCTCCATCACGGAGCTGATATGGAATCCAAACTAGCAATCTGCGTGAAGCACGGAGAATGTGAGTGACGCATGAACACAAAGAAGGCACGAATATACCTCTCCTGTTTTCCCCAGCCAGAAGTCTTCTTCTCTTCTGTGTATTCCTCCTCTTCTTCAATTAACAGATTGTAATTAGATTCCAGGTAATCGTTTTCCAATGTCTGTTTGCTTGGGCTGAAATATGAGGTCAGAGGTAAAAGGGCAGGACATGTCAACGATTTCCAATCCACACTCGTCTTGACAGCAGCTGTCCAATCATATTCATCAGGAGTTTTCTCCATCCCTCGATACAAATTAAAACGTGACAGTTGAGATCGGCGCCTTGGTGTCGGATTCTGTGTTGTCTTTGAAGGTTCGGAAATCGGGCTGAAATGGCCGAGAATACCCGACGATGGCTCGGGGATGATAGCGTTATCTTCGTACGTATCTTCATTTTCTTCACTAATCATCAAGGCGTCTAATGGGGGTTGCTCCTCTGTAATGCTCTTAAACTGTGCTTCTGAGATTTCCTGTGTGCGAGCGGCCACGACAGCAAGTGCTGCTTCTTCGACACCTCGTGACTGAAAAACAAATGAAAATTGATGAAGAGGATTTAAACTAAAAAAACAATGACCACTGTTGCTGCATCAAGGCCTTTGGCGACTGTGCACAGGCTGAGATCTCAAAATCATCCGGAATTTTTTTTTAAATTTTTGTTACCCTACTAGGTGGGTTTCAAAGCGACTGGTTTTAAACATCGCTCTAAAAAGTTAACCAGAACTGACCAACTACAAACAAACAATGAAATATCGTGACTAAGTCTAACGTGTTTTAGAACAATTGTCACTCATGTTTATCACATGTTTGTCACTACTGGGAAGCTAAAAAGAACGTACCTTTTCAGTCTTAATTTGTGTGATGCTTTCAGCTGGTGAAAGTTTCTTATAATGTCGATGGAGAACCTCTCCACCAGGCCCCTTGGGAAAAACGTGTGACCACCGATGTCGGTTACAGGTCCAGTTACAAGGAATCTCGTTCGGCTTAAAAGGGTTTATTAGGGTCCTTTGGGGCCGTGAATGACCAGGGATCTCATGGCGACTTGCGCCTGCACTTCCAACCGCAAACCGGCGAGGAACTGGTCGAATGATTTCATGAGAAGTTCCATTTACCACCGTATTTTCGGAAAGTGAAGCTGAGGAAACAAAGAAACAAAAGTAAGGTTTAAGGGCAAGAAGAGGAAGCCACTCGATGTGGTATCCTCCAAGCTTGATGCTTGATGCAGAGAAAGAAATTTTGAGCTCAGTCATTGATTAGAGAAAGATGTTATCCATATGCTTTGAGCGTGAGACAAAAATGTCCTCTTTTAACCACTGCTTGTTTTGTTGTCTCTGCCGTCTGTTCAAGATCTTTCCTTCTAACTACTGCTGGGAACCTTTCGATATACTGATAGTAATCACAAAAGCCAATCCGAGTGTAATCCATAATTAACTATGGCGCACCGAAGCGGACAAAAATACTCTGTATGGATATATAAGACTTGTTTTGTAAAATATACGTGTAGCCACCATTTTAATTCCGTTTTGTTATTATCATTTGCGGTTGTTTCGTTACATAATATCACGTGAGTTATTCCCACGTGTTTTAAGATTTTGAAGTCGCTTCGTTAACGTATGTTGTAGTCCTGGCATGGGTCGTTGTATTCCCAATCAGGGTCAAACAATTCTTTAACGTGCTNAAGGCACGTTTGTTTGTTTTATTAAATGAGCCGTAAAGGTTACAATACGACTTGTTGCGAAAATATAAAACTTGTTTTGTAAACTATACGACTTGTTGCGGAAATATAAACTTGTTTTGTAAAATATACGATTTGTTGCGAAAACATAACACTTGTTTTGTAAAATATACGACTCGTTGAGAAAATATAAAACTCGTTTTGTAAAATATACGACTTGTTGCGAAAATATAACACTTGTTTAGTAAAATATACGACTTTGTATAAATATTTTACTTTAACAGCGCCAGCGATTTGACTGTTCAGCGGTAAGTGGAACACAGCCCACCGCTCCTCAAGCCTAAAAAAAGATGGCGGATGAGTTAGGAGCTTTTCTTGGAGTGTTAGAACTTGGAAAACAAATTTGCGAGGACGTTAGACGAAACTTGTTTGTAGCAGATAAAGAAGCAGCTGAAAAACTGAGGAATAACTCTGTTCAACTTATCATCGCACTCGTCATTGCAAGCAGACAACTACCAACAGAAATCAGCATGAGCTCTGCTGCAAAGCAGCTGACCACAGACAGTGGGCGCCCTCAAAGTATCATTTTTCACCGCGAACAATGAAGTCTTATCTGCAACCAGTCTTATCTGCAACAAGTCTTATATTTTACAAAACAAGTCTTATATTTTCGCAACGAGTGGTATATTTAACAAAACAAGTCTTTTATTTCCGCAACAAGTCTTGTATTTTACAAAACAAGTTTATATTTCCGCAGCAAGTCGTATATTTTACAAAACAAGTTTTATATTTTCGCAACGAGTCGTATATATCCATACACAAGTAGATTTGTCCGCTTCGGCGCGCCACAATTAACCGAGGTCAAAGATAAAAGATCATCCACCAACAAATCGAGTTTGATTTCTTGCCTCCTTTCTGATTGAAGTGGTTTTCATTAGTTTATAATACCGTTGGACTGACGAATCGATGTTACCACTTTTTGTTTATATAAATCGGTTGATAAATTTCTATCTCGCACAACTTCAGCTGTCCTTACATTTGATTTTTACATTTCTATATCGCGCAACTTTAGTTGTCCTTTCACTTGATTGTTACATCTCTATATCGTGCAACTTAAGCTGTCCTTTCCCTTAATTGTGACTCGGTGCAGCGAACTAAAACTGTTTTTGCAAGATGTGGTCCTCGTGGTTTACCGCTTAATACAGGTACGACTTTCAAGTGACTCGGTGCAGCGAACCGTGAAACTATTTAAGGCAAGATTACCAAAGCATGAGCCAATTCGCACGATATTCTGTGAGCGAACTACTATAAAGTTCTGTCAGGAAGTCACCACTTAAACCGCTTTTTTAACAGCAATGCCCACCGTCAATTCGCTAGGTTTTTTTTCTTTCTCCAACGCAGACCGTGCACACATTGTTGCTATGAGTTGCGTAGTAGTTTGACAATCACGTGTTTGTGTTGCGTTTGTTCACTTGTAAAAATTAGGGTTCGTAGACCATAAAATACTTTCTGCCTCTTGTGAACAATTGATTTTGGGTTTGTTCGCATTAAAAATTAGGGCTCGCAGACATGAAATATTTTCTGCCTCTTACGAACAATTGAGTTTGAGTTTGTTCGCATTGAAAATTTGGGCTCGCAGACTGTAAAATATTTTTGATGTGTTTTCTTTTGTCGATTTTGGACGTTTCATTGTTTTGTTCTTGAGTCAGGATAACATGGATACCAATTTTGCGCGAGCTTTTTACCAGATGGGTTTATAAGTTTTACGCAAGTAGTGATGAATTGAGGTGGTAAATTTCAGGAGTCTTGCTGAAGTTACCGAAAGCTGTATCAGACATGTGGATTGTACATCGAAGCACACAGTAATGAAGTTCTAATGTCAGTCACTTTCATATCGTCAAAAAATAAATCCTATTCTCCAACACTCTTCCAGCTTTACTGTGCAGTCGATGTTTTTTTTCAGTTCTTTTTTGTTTTATCTGAATAATCTACTGCTTTTATGTTGAAATGTTCATAGTTATCAGAATATTAGTTTTTACGTATTTAACATCTTGCAAGTTAAACCATTAGAATGCCTTTACAATTTTGATGACAAAATGCCGCCTGTGCCCGGCTTACACGATTAACAAGAACTCTTTCAACTTTACCCATAGGCGTACGGGCCGAGGGGGGGGGGGTTGCAGTCCCCCCCCCCAGATTTTGGGCAACTCAGATTTTTTGGGTAGCACGAGAAATTTGGGTAAAGCTAGTTTTTAAAGAAGCTTGCATGTGTCTGTATTTTTGGTTCGAAGAGATATTTCTGTTTCAACCTGAAGTCGGCGTTGCAAATAGGCTCGATTTCCACCGTCTCCCGGGTCCGGTCTTTTGATCTTCCCCTTCGGGGGGATAAGTGCGGGCTCATTTTTGCGAACAGCGGTTGGTAATCGAGCCTACGTTGTAAAGCCAGTCAAATTCACACGAGACAGTGGTTGCCTAGCACGTGATCACTTTCTGGTTATTTTTGAAGGGGATCATATGTTGATATACATATTTGTAATTTTGTTGTTGTTGAGCACTGTGCTGCGCTGCACTAGTTAGTGTGGGGAATTTCCAGTCGTTAATTAATTAGAGTCAATAACTGTCTAGAATCATATTATAGATTATCCACTGGAGACTCTCAGAAGATCTGAGTCACGTGCTCGGCAACCACTGTCTCGTGTGAATTTAACTGGCTTTGCCACGTCCTTTATGGCGTAAAGCCAGCGAAATTCACGGGGTCTCTGTAAAACGCTGACTGGATAGATG